CACTCCTGTTCTGGAAAAACTTTCCACCCCCTGAACTCTACTGCCCAGAGGGAGGTTCTGACACCAAGCCAACTCCCCCTCCCACCCCCTGGGGTGTCACCTTCCCACCCCCAGGGGTGCAACCCTATGCCAACAGCCTGCAGAGCACATGCCAGCTATCTAGGTTGCATGGCACAAACAGATCCAGGAGTGAGGTTTAGGGGAGCATGGGAGACAAACAAGGTGAGTGCCCAGCTTGGGTTTCCATGAGCAGGGGATTCTTTCCAAGCAGCAGTAGCTCCCCAAAAGCACCATCCTTCACCACTTCCACTTCCCAGCCATCCCAGGAAGCGTGACCAGCCCCCCCTACACCTCAATCCCACATTATTAAAACATGAGACCTTCTTTAATTTACTTCCTTTTATTTTTTTAATTCTTTTTTCCCACTTCTTTTTGATTTTATCCATCAGTGGCTGACTTCCTTCATTTCATCACCCTTCTCCCAACCACATTTCCTTTCCACCTCCAATTTCATTACCCACCCCCATTCCATTAATTCTCTCTTTCCCCAGTGCATCTTTCACCTTCTACCCCCTACCCTGCCCTCACATAGAAACCAGGGATAGAAAACTGTCCTGTCTCACCAGCCCTGTAGTGCCAATTTACAGCTGTATCTCCAAGTCAGGCCCCTGCTCACCAGTCCTCAAATGGCAAGTCACAGCTGAGCAGGTGAGGACAGTCAGAGAAGGTTTTTATCCTTAAGGTGCAACTGCTCCAAACTCAAGCCAGCACTAATACCAATCAACATGTGAGCAGCAAAAAGTGCAACATGTAATAAGGTCCCTACATATCAGCTAATCAAAGAATAGAAAGAAGACAATGTGATTTATTTAACTAGAGAACAAAGCATGCATTTCAAAGTTTGAATACTGAGTACTCACAGTGAAGCCTTTTCAAGAATGCCCCTCTCACAGAGGATGAAAAAAGTTTTCAAAGAGAAACTCAGTGAGCATTTCAAATAATTAATTCATCTGAGATTTTTGTGGCAGGCTTGCAAACACTTTGCAAACAGAAATCCAATTAAGTAAAATGGTAAGTTATTCATTATTTTTCCTCTCCAACTAACTTTATTCAACAAAATACTTATGTTAGTAGTATACCTGGCTAAATGATTGATTGGAAGTGACTTGTGTGTAACCAAAATAAGGTATCTACTACATGCAACATACAGTAGCTATTATCTAAGTGGGTTTTCTTCAGTATTAATTAAACATTTGCTCACATTTTGTCCTCATCCAGCAAGGCTCCTCCATATGGATGGCTATATAGTGTGACTCCTATAAAGGGAAAAAGAAAGCCCCATGTCATCTCAACAAACTCTAAAATTAGCAGACTTTAACATTTTTATTAAATAGCTCATTGCCTTGGACAGGAAAGCTGGACATTCATGAAGTGGCATCAGAGCACCATTACAATTTTCAAGCACAATGAAAGGAAGCTCTGAATGAAATCAGGTTCAGAGTAGAGAGGTGGCAGAGTTTATAAGATGCATTAAATAAATAAATTACAACAGCAACTGAGAGGAACAGGGAACAATGTGAGACAAAACAAAGGGGGACCTAAGAAAGATAGTCTTGGCTAGAACAGCCTTGCTTTTGTAGATATTATTCAATACCTCATTGCACCTTTCACATAGTGGATTGATGCACCATAGCTACAGACAGTTGCCTCCAGAGGGCTGTCTGCGCTTTAGTCAATGGGAAATGAAGGCACTCAGGACTCACAGGAATCAGCACTCAGCTGTAAACTGGCCCTTTGATCTCTCAATTCCAATTCCACAAGGGTTATACTTTTGCAGACATGTTGCATGTACTCCTAATAGAGGAGAGTGGGAGTTGATTTCTCTCTGTGGGCCCTGACTGGAAAGCCATTTGGTACTTAAAGTAGAAATAAGAAAGTCAAATTACAGATCAATAGACACTTCGCTAAAGTTATGTCTGACAGAGAATATATACTAGGATCATATATTAGCCTTCAGCTGGTTGGGTTTCTTGTGTTTTGCATTGGTTTTTTTGTTGTTTTTAAACGACCTATTTTTCACCTTGAATATTTATGGCAAAGCATGAAGTCATTCTTCACAACCAGAAAACTCTCATTTAGCTTTTTTGCTGAGTTAGTAGAAAAACCTCACTGAAGAGAGAGAACAATCTCATCTGAAGTAAATTTACATTTTTGCTTGGGAACATAATTTTAGCACTTCCACTACAAAACCAAACAAAAATAAAAGCTTTGTTTTCCAGCAGAAGGTGAGCTTTTGACTAGTGCCCACCAAATGAGAAAGTTTTGCAAAAATATTAACTTCTACATACATACTGGGTGTATCTACATGTTTAATTAGTGAGGCACAATAAGCTCCAGCACAGTTTCCACCAGAGTTAATGGCTCCCAGGTGCAGCATCTGCACATGTGCCCAGGACTATAGCAGTTTGAGCTGAGGTGCCATAGCAGGCTTGAGTAGGGTCAGCCCCAGGCTCCAGGTCACGGCATCAGATTGTGGAGGGGCTGGCTGGGGCAAAAGAGTGCTTAAAGAGTGGAGCTGTGCAGCTAGGTGGCAGGCAGGAGTCTGGCTCCCTGATGCCTGGGCTGACCAGGTGCAATTTACACCCAAGTCAGCATTTACACATGCAATCGGGTTCAGTTATTTTCACCACTGTAAGATTGTACTGTCCCCAACAAAAATTAGTTTGCTGTGGTCTAATAGCATCACATGTGCAGACCGTGATGCTTTACATCACAACAAATTAATCTAATGTGCAGCTAAGTGCACATGTAGATGTACCCACAGAAACTAAGTTTCACACACCCTGATGGAACATATCATAGGAATGGCCCTAAAGGAAAATAAAGTTTTGCTTGCAAATTGAATATTAAGAGATTTGCCATATTCATATTTTTGCTTTACATTTATTTCAGAATAAAACTGCTTCTTGAGATTAGGCACATAACACATTAATATCAATATAATCTTTCTTTATACTAATATAAATGTAGAGTGGGCACATGATATATGGTCCTACAAAGGCATACATCACTTCAGTCAAGGCTAAAATTACTCCTTATGAAGGCAGTGGTAACTTCTTACCAGTATATGTTACAACAGTACCTGAAAATCAGTCATGTATGCCTCTGCTCTAATCCATTTCATCAGTGCAAATAGACTATTACTAAGTCCCCTGCTACCTAATAACTGGGTGCTGTTATAGTGCCTGCTACAGTTAGCTACCTACAGAGAGCTGGTTGCCTGCCCACTCTTACATTGGCGTAATTTATATTAGCATACAAACCTATGTAAATTACACTGATGTAAACACATTGTGCATCTGCAACCTGTTTTGCATTGCAATACTCTGATTTCTGAATGACTTAATTCAAGACCAAAAGAAACTTGATTACTGCTGAAGAATTCCAATATACGTAATAATGAGATAAAATTGCATTATTAAATAATGACTGGATTTAGCTATTGTATTTTTTTTCTATTTGCTGTGAGAACCATGACTTAGAACGTTCCATACATGACACCAAGTTGGTGAGAGTTAGACACTCAGGAGGTTGGGCTAGGAACCAGAATGACGTGGATAAACTGGAGAAATGATCAAAAACTCAATCAGAAGCAATTCAACAAAGACAATATTGGGGTGGGATAAATACATGTACAAATACAGACTGGAGAATGACTGGATAGGCTGTCGTACTGGACAGAAGGACCTAGGGGTTACAATTGACCACAAGCTGAATATTAGCCAGGAGTGTGGTCTGTTTGCAAAAAAGGGCCAAAAGTATACTGGGTTGTATTAAAAGCAGTGTCTCTTGTAAGCTAAGGGAAGTGATTCTTTCACTCTACTCAGGACTACTGAGGCCTCACCTGGTCTGTGTTGTAACAGGGTGGGCTGTCCTATTAAGACAGGGCAGCCAGCCCTACTGAGTAGCTGCAGCTGGGGAGGTTGCTGATCATGGAGTGGCTCAAGGGAAGCTTAAAACTGCCAGAGAAAACAGCAGCAGGAAAGCAAACTGTGAAAGAACACCTGTGAGCCCAAGACTAGCAGTGGTCTGAACTACTGACTACACAGAGAGGCCAGACTGCCATGCAAAGGTCAAAGCCACAGGACACCCCTTCCCAGAGAAGCCCAGAGGTGAGGCTACCCATTTACATGCATCCAGTATTGGGCCCCACAGTTCAAGAAAGGTGTGGACAGAGGACAGAGTCCAGCAGAGAGTGACCAAAATGATTAGAGACTTGGGAAGCAAGATTTATGAGGATAGGCTGAAAGAACTAAAGTTATTTAGTCTGGGAAAAGGAAGACTGAAGGGAAATTTGAGGATCCTGGGCACATCATCCTTGGAGGCTGCTAGAGAAGCTGTGGAATCTCCATCCCTGGACATTTTCAAGAGCGGGTTAGACAGACACTTGTCTGGGATAGTCTAGTCAGGAATCACCCTTCCTTGAGCACAGGTTTCAACCAGATGACCTCATGTGGCCCCTTCCAGCTCTAATTTCCTGTGTTCCTTTCTTTATGTCATATTTCCTTATCTATGACTTGGGAGGCTATTTGGAAGAATGCCAAGATGAAGTGGGTGAAAACTTAGAGCCAGATATACTTCTTTTCCATGTCTCTCATCCATTTGCTGATATTTGCCATCCTCCCAACCCTGCTCTATTCCATTAACAACAATGGCAAGGATAAATTGCCATAAGGACCAGGAAAAGTCTCAGTCTCAGACCACGTGCTCTTCCCTGCCAAGTGCCTTTCCACTAAAGCAGGGGTCAGCAACCTTTTGCCTGTACAAGCCACCCTTTGTGACCTAGCCCAAAGCTATGGGCCACAAGTTTCCACCCCCTAAAATATCCAACTGCCTGTGCTTATCCTCACCACTGTTCACCACATCCCTTCTACAGTGAGGGTAAGCACAGACACAGCAGAGCAGCAGGCTCTGTGCCACTGATCCCCTGTATCATATCAGACATTCTCAGGCCAGACTGGATCCAGATGGCCCATAGGCTGCTCACCCCTATGACTAGAGCATTTCTTGGTATGTGCCCTGTTATACACTGCCTTAGACTGTACTCACTTCTGCATCACATGGCCTTGCCTGTCACTCAGTATGAGACGAAGAGTGAAGGGACTAGGAAACATAGAATAAAAATGGGGGAGGAGAGGGGATCACTGGATGGGAAATGATAGGCTAGGTTTCAACCAGTATGTCCAAAGCAGCTCATTCTCTTTCTGCCTATAGGCTGTCTCTTGTCTTCTGCTGATCTCCCCATGACTATTCAGAATTAGCCAGCCATAATGTACCACTTAGACATCACCAGGGTTGTACAGATTAGCATGGAACATATCAACTGTTCTGCACTTAGATTGGTTGAGAACTGTTTCATATATCATTAGAAGGGTTGTTTCCTGTAAGAGATAAAATAGGAATCTGTCTCTCTTCTTGATTTATATAGGCTGCTATAGGAATCAAAATACTTGATATTTCCCAGAGTTTAAAAACATATCCGTGGATTTTCCATGGCTTTATGGTATGGGTTTTTTTGCTTTCTTGTTTGTTATGTCTTGTTCCCCCTTCCCTTTTCTTGTTCCCTCCCCCATAGAGGGGATTTCTAGCTGACGGACCAAAATAATATGATTTCAAACAAATCTCATCAGTGATTTGAAACCATAAGATTTTATATTTTTAAAACTAGTTGATCTGCATGGCTGAGTAAATTGTTAGCACATCATCCAGCCCTGTATTGGCTCCTGAGCCCAGCAAAATTATTGATAACCAGTATGATTATTATAAACTTCATTACACTTCTGTGTTGAGAGTTTGCTAGGGTCTGAGGTTTCAGTGGTAGGCAAAAATGTTAAGCTCACTGTAAAAAATAATGATAAGAAACAAGGCAGTAGGCCTATAATCTCAGACATATTTCCGATCTCACTGTGTGGTGTGTTGAAGTAAAGTTTTGATTGTGTGCTGCCAATGCAGAAAGAGAGTGAGAGAGAGAGAACTGGAACTGACATGCGCAAGACAGGCTCATGGAATTTTCCATTGGACTCACCCAGCCTGTGTCCCCTGGGCGACCCCAAGAGCTGTCAGTCAGGCTGACCTACTTTTCAGCCCTGTGCATGCTTGGTAACAGCGGAGAGATCAAGCTCACACATGCTCAGTCAGCTAAGAGCATGATGTCATTCGGCTAGAAAGTTCTTTGAGGGACACATTCTAATTGGCCACCAAATTGTATAAAAGGTTTAGGAGCCCCTCCCTCGGGGGGAGATCCCGTTTGCTGGAG